AGTTTTCCACATTTTTGGGTTTTCTTTCTATTTTCCACTTAGTATTTCTGCCCTGCCTTTGTTCTAGACCAACACCTTTAACATGTTTTTGGCAGCGCCAGAAAATAAAAAAGTGCAAAAACTTTCACACTCTATCATTGCCACTCCCTCTCGCTCGCTCTCTATCCATCTCTCTTGCTCCCGGCCTGCATGACGCGTTGAATAGTTTTCGCAGTTTTTTGTTTGTTTTCATGTGCCAGGTGCACGGTAATGGGTTAATTAGCCCTCAGTCTGGACCACCAAGGGTTAATTAAGTGGCCGGAAATTTGGAAGAAAAAAATCACTGGCCAAATTGATTAAAACAAGAAATACTAAAATTGACATCCACATTTTAGGCATATATGTAAATTCATTTTTCGGTTTTATGAAAGAGTTGCTTAAAGCTAAGGGGTGCGTTTGAGAACTCGTTTAAATAAGTTAAGTTGAATTATTATTCAGTCAAATAAGGTTAATAATGTTTTTCAAATGATTAAAAAGTATAATATAAATGAAATAGAAAGGTGAATCGCATTAACATTTTTGTTTCTATATAGAATGATACCATACTATTTTATTAAGCTCAAATAAAGTTAGTGATCTTAGGAATCACTTTTCTTCTTAAGTTCCTCAATATAATATTTTTCTGAGGGTGACTTTCGAGCACTTTATACATCAAATAGATTGCCTCCCCTTAAGTTTCAATTACTTGAAGTACAATAACTCAATCCAAGATGCATAAACCCCGAAGATGACTCAGTAACCCACACTTGATAAGATTCGAAGAAAATTTCGGAGTAACCTATAAAAACATCCCTTAAAAATCTCAAGCTCCCTTTCAAATATTTACTTTATGAAGCTTACAAGTTCGTGGAAAAAATATTTTTGGGGGAGTCGAAGAATGCATTAAAATTCGTTGAAAGGAAGGAAAAATATAAAACCGAAACACAAAGGAACTAACAAGCGATTCCACCTACTCCGCCCCATCAGCAAACTCTTCTAAGTGATTTCAACCCGGAAATGCCCATAAATCGATTGGATCTTGGGGCGCATAAGGGGTAAGACAAGTTTTCAGTGTGTCCCACTACACAGTGCGAAAATGCTGATACATATAAACCAGCCAACCGTCACAAACATATATTAAAGTGTACAATAACTTGAAATGTGGGTACATGTATTTATATATACGTATTATTTTTAAAAAAAAGTGTCATAAAGGTGTGTTTTGGGAAACATACACAAAAATCTATCTAAACGAATACATTTTTTTATTTAGTATCTTAGGTTTTTTTTAGTATCTTAGGTTACAGCAAGAAAATGATTTTGAGTGTAATAAGATATAAAATGCAATGTTTTTATCGCTGTGTACGGGTTTCTTTGGCTGCGGATGCATCTGGCTTTATGGGCTAAATGAATGAATTGAAATGGGTGCGGACGAGTGTGTGTGGTTTGTATCGACTTGTGGCACACTTGTCTGGATTTTCCAACCCCAACCCCATCCCCTCCTCCTTGGGCAACACCCCCTCATGTGGGGTACAATGCAAATAAAAGTTCATTACAAGCTCAGGCCAAGGCGCTTAAAAAAACTGTTGTAACCGAGGCTTTTGTTATATTCTCCGGTCTGCCCCACTTTGTATTGTGTATTCTGCCTCTTTTATGGTCAACGGCCCCTTTCTGGCTCTTTAGATCGTGGGTGGGAAACGGAGAAGTCGCCTGGCCGGAAATGCCACATCCGTGTACGAGTCCATAAAGTCAATAAGGGAAAAATTGTAGAAAAAGCGGCGAAAGCGAAGGAAATTTTGAAAAGCCAAAGGGAAATGAATTAAGAATAAGCAATGATTTACCAACTTTGCCATACTCACATTTATGATATGGATGTCCGGTTGGGCGTCCTCAGATTATCCTTTTCATCGTAAAATCTCTTTAAATTATAAGACTTTTATGAGCGATAACTATTGGCGGAATAAAATACGACATGAGTTTACGACACGGCACGCATTAAAAAATCTAAAACCAGCATTGGTCATTAAGTTATGGGATTTTTATATATGACAACTGTTGAAAGACCTCCTCTTCGAATTAATTGAAAATGTCACAGATCCGAGGCAATTATCGTAAATTATGCACACGCGCCCGAATCCAAATATTATTATTATTTTTATTACGTGCGTAGGCAAAACAAAATCAAGAATTTCGAGCCACCCTCTAAATTTTGATATCGTCTTCAGGGTGAGTTGTTCATAATGAAATGTCAACAAATGTGAGCCAAAAAGGGGAAGTTGGCGAAAGTATAAAATAGGGCCAGAACATGTTCTTTGTTTCAGCGGTGGTTGCTCGACTTCCCTCGAGTCTTTGAAGTTGACTTGCGGAAATTGAAAACTTAATTGGCAGAGCTGTCTTATGATTGAAAGGAGAAAGAACAACAATAATAGGGGGATATCTAGAATATCTAGTCTCTTTAAAACTTAAAAAATACATAATTTGTACAAAATACAAGAATTTCTATGCATTCAATATTTATAAAAGGCATATAAGCGTTATAAATCTTGTTGACTGTATAAATTGAATATAATTTTGCTGGACCACGTCCTGAAAATCTGTATCCCGTGCAGAAATCTCCATCGGTGACTCACGAGCAGACATAACAAATAAATTCCCCAGAAAATCAGAACCAGCCAAATCCCGTAAATCGCAAATTTTCTATGCATTTTACCCGTTTGCAGACTCAGATGTGGAAAAAAATGAACCAAAGCAACCCCAGACAGTAGAATATATATATAAAACGAAACCATAAAAAATGCAACAGACCATAATAATTTCAACGTATATTTTTTTGAACATTTTCTGCTTTTGTCGCAATCTTCCAAAGGATACCCCCCTCCCCGCCCACCAGAACCCCCTTTCGTCCATCGAATTCAGGGTCTGACTATGCAAAAATGCAGCAGCCAAAAAGCACATAAAATTATTATGTGACGAGGAACGTGGGGAGTGAAAATCGGGGGTCGTGGGGAAGGGGGGTAGGACAATGCTCAAAGGCATTTCGGACTCGGCCAAAAATCAGACTCAGCATGTGCGCATAAAGCTCAAATAAACTCAAGTTGTTGACAAAGGGGTTAAAGGCCATAATTGTGGCCGTCGGCAGAGCGGGTTAATATGAAAGGGGTGGCCTAACCCCTCTCTCTCTCTCCCCCTCCCTCTCCCTCTCCCACTTCCTCTCCCTCTCCCACTTCCTCTCCATGGGGAACCTTCCAAACGTGCCAGACTGAAAGTGGAATTTTCATTGGATGTGTAAACAAAACCAGCGGGGGAAAATGAGCCAGATGATCTAGTCGGAAAAGCTAAAGTGAGTTTTAAAAAGGATATTCCCTGCCTTATGGCCGTGCTAAATTATCCATTTTTTGAAAATGTATAATCAGATTTTAGGAATATAAGTAATTTGTATCTAAGGGCATGTTATTTTGTTATGATTTACTTTTGATTTACTTAAAATCTCTTAAACTTCTTGAGCTTTCTATAATGAGTTGCCAATAAACGCAATTTATTGTTCCAATTATTTTAATAAACTTCCAAGTTTCTAAAACTTTCACAAATATCCCTTCTTACTTACTTTCCTCCAAACTCGCCTTATCTCCCACGAAAAGGTTTCTTTACAAAGCTAATAAAATGTATTATCAAACTTTTGCAGAAGTTCTTTGAAAAGCAACTCCATAAAATCAAATATATGTATTACCTGCATTGCCCCCCTCCACTTGCCTTCCCCAACTTTCCAGCTCCTTCTTTTTTTTACTCATTTCCTATATCGTTTTTGCTCCCCGAACTGCAGGAGGACAAAAGCTCTGGTCGCACTTTAAATAAGCATTAAATTGATACAGCATAAAGTTGTGTTCCTCTCTCTACCCGCCTGTGCACCCATCTCTTTCTCCCATGACGCACTCCAGACACACTCTAATCGCTTTATAACTTCTAACGCAGTTTATCAGAGTCCGCAGCCCACAGCCCCTCTTCCCTTAATTCCAGCACCCCCAAAAGTCATCCTTCCCGTGCCATTAAGGCGGCTCAAAGGCAAAAGTTATTGTCACGCACTGAAGTCGCTTCATGTGGAGTTATGTGGTGCACTGAAAAAAAAGCTCCTTTGTGAGTTACGTACGAAAAATAATAACACGAATACAACCAACAATTGTTCTAAGAAGATAAGGTTAAAAAAACCACTCTAATCTAACAACTTAATGGAAAGTTGACGTGTATATCAGCATAAGTTTACAGGGAATCCCCAAACAACATGCACTTAATAAATAAGTCATACTCAATACACTCAGTACAAGTTTTGATAAGCAGAAATGATAACAAGAGACTGTTTCTTTCTGTGCTTTTTTTGTATTGGAATGGTCGAAAGGGAAAATATACAAACACCTCCATCCATGCTTCATGCAAAAGCTTTCTGGTTATTGCCTTCCTGCTCGCACTTTCGCTGAGCTTGGCTTGGCTCTCTTTAGTGTCTTTTTGGTTCACCTCGCTTTTCTTCTTTCGTACTGTATTTTCTTTTTTTTTGTTTGGCACTACGTCTGGCAAACAAGGCGGAAATTATTGTTGGCGGTTTTTTTTTCAGTATTTTTTAGTCTTTTACATTTTTGATTTTCACCCATCATCTGCTTACAAGTGCTATATTTTTTTGCAATAACAAATAGTTATTATGTCTGACAAATACTATTGTTTTTCTTATATCTGCTTTAACTGTCGTTGCATTCGTTGAGAACGGAAAAAAGAAAAGCACTTTAAATTGATAGGTTTAGTCCGGTGAGTAATTCTCGTTCCATGATTGCACAAAAGTATTGCTATCTTTATAGCCCTATTTAAGCATTAGCAATAGAATCGAAGTAAACCCCCAGTGAGTCAGTTCAATACACAACCCTTTCGATAAGAAAAACCCACACAAAACGATCCTATCTGAAATGTCTTTCTTTTCAAGAGGAAAACGTATATAAATTGGTCATATCAGCAGCTGGGAAGCCAGTTCGCATTCAGCAAGCAACGCGAGAAGTTCTCGAAAGGAATATATCAATTTGAAAAGTTTTAAAAGGATTTAATAAATAACTTCAAAATGCCGCATCCCGAAGATCGTCTGTTTGGAATCCACTTTGGCCTGAATTTGGGTGGAGGTGGACATCATCACCACCATCACACGCCGCCTCCGGTGCACCACCATCACCACCACGGACCTCCAATGCACCATTACGGACCCCCGCCGCACCATCACCACCACTACGGACCCCCACCACCGCCGCCCCACTACGACCATCATTATCATCACCACGGCAGCCACTTTGACCATCATCATGGTCCTGCCCATGGACATCATCACCACCATTGCTAGTCCAAACCGGAAGGCAGGGTTTAAAAACCACAGCACTCTGGCGGAGAAATGGCGAAAATAGTTATAAACGAATTTAATTTATTACAAAACTAAAAAAAAGTATTAAAAATACAAAAAATATATATGTAAGTGCTTTCTGCACACCAAAAATATCTATACTGCGCACTTTGTTAACAAATGACGATACGATAAAGTTTAAAATAAGAACTTATCTTATCTTGATTGACATGACACAAAGAATTCAGAAAAACATATAATACGTATAAAGCTATTTATGAAATACGTATTTCAAAGCCAAAAGGAATGAGGAATCATTTTAGAACTTAATAATTCAAGAAATTCTAAGCCAATAAGAAGATTAATTGCAACCACAAACACGAAACAATACCACCCACGAAAACAATTTGGTAAGCCGATATAAATACAAATGAAATTAAATATAATTTTAGTACGGCTGTGGATTCGTTTCGGGTGGGTCAAACAAAATGTTTGCCAATTACAAACCCATTTCGAAGTGTTTTTATTTTTCTGCGGTTGTCACAAAACGCTAATTAGACAGCAGCTACCATATAAAGTGGGTCTCTCAATACCCGCATATATTTGTCTGTGGGTTATGGCCTGTCATAAAATGTAAAATGCTGCCCCCGGCGTGGGTCGTATGGATATCGACACCTGGAAAATATTGGTAATTAAAATTTGCCGGTTGTCGACCAGAAATCCGAAAAAACCGCTTCCATTTTGGCCTGTCTAATAATGTTGTAAAACATGTTGCCATTAAGTCAAGCGACAGACGCCGAAACGCCCCAAAGGTAAAAACTGAAAAACAGGAAAAATAAGGAAAATGATTAAATGGTATAAAAATACCCTACACATCTTTTACAGGCTAAAAAATAAACTTTAAAAAAATGCAATGTTATATATGATTTATTTCTAGTAATTTAAAAATGTTTCAAAAGCTTCTCGACTATCATCAAACTATTAAACTATGTAAATTCCCTTAATATTTAAATATAAAATATACTAAGATTCTTTAGCAAGGTACGGACTCCAATTTATTTGTAGGATACCTTGGCGTATACTATAGATCTTTCATTGACATGTAGCGCTAATGGAATTGGTAGCAGTAAGTGGCACTCGAGCACTCTCTTCAGGTTTTTGGTCCAAGACTGTCAATTAAATATGGACATTTTCGGGGTCTGGCTATCAACGATTTTTTGACAATTTCATGGGACAGCTCGAAAATTGATAGAGTAAAGAGTAAAGAGTAAAGTGCCCGTCCCCCTGAAAATGTCTAGATGACAATTAACGTCTCAATTCATAAATGTTGCGTCGGAAAAATCATTCCTCAAACCGCGAGGCTTGCTTTTAATTAAAAAACTTAAATTATGCCCGAGGCCTAGCCTGATGCATACTTTAGCCGCAAATGGAGCTGCCTGGCAACTTCGTATATCTTAATTGTTATTTGTATTTAATTATATGGCAAGTCGACTTTAGTTTGCCGCAAAAGTTGAAAATGTTGGAAAAACAGCATCCCAGCAAGTGGGTGAGAAAAAGAAGTCGAGTCAAAGTTTCTTCGCTTTTTCCGTAATTAAAATGTTTACTTTACATTGTTGGCCAAGTGTTTTCGCTCTACCGGAAAAAAGTGAGTTCAGAGATGAGGGAAAACAATAGAAATAGGAGTTGCTTGGGCATCCGTCAGATACTTTCAGTGCTTATGCAAGAGGAGTGCTTATGTGACTCAATCACAATGACAATTACCCTGTTTAATTTTTTTTGAACAAGCTTGTTGCATTTGTTGCAAATGAGTTGAAATATTCTTCTTTTTAGGGGTTATTACTGATTGAAACCTTATGCTAAATATGACCTTAGTTTAAGACTCATGAAGTCTGAACAATTGCTCCTGTCGTGTCTTACACTACATAAATCTCCAAATAATAATGCACACACCAACAGACATTTCTTGGATAATCAGAGTACTAATTTCCCAATTTCCTCTTCTTTCAGGTATGTACTTATGGCAGTTCCACACCATAAACTAGAATTATACAGAGTGTAAGTAATGAAATGTTCATACACTGATCACCAATTCGACCTGATGGCCCATTAATGAGTTTACTCAACTAAAGTACAAGCCAATAACGTGGAGCCACAAGGAACGACTCGCATAGAGCGCAATCAAATCGCAAGAATAAACCCATTACCGTACTCACAGCCCATCGTGTAATCATAAGCCCATACTCATAACAATCAAAGGCAATTTCTGGAATTCAGTTCGCAGGATTACTTCTAATAATTTAATAAACCCATGAAAAGTCCAAAATACGATAAGTACGGTGGGACAACGGGGTTATGGCCTCCTTCCGCACGGTGCTATAAAAATTCCGCACCAAAACTTCTCATTAAATAAACATACCCGAACCGAAGACAAAGGCCATTCCATATCGAGTACGCATTCCGAAAAACTAGTCCCAAACTAAGGCCGCGTAATGTCGCTTGTTAGTACTAATGATGGGCTGGACCAGTGTTCCTCTGCCATATCCTCTTGAAGCCTCCCCGCCCCTGGGAAAACGCAAAAATAAATTTGTACATCTGCGATAGAAGCCGCGATATGGGAGCCAAGACCATGGCCAAGACCTCGGAAGGCCAAGAATGAAAGAGCGTTGCCCATTTCGCCTGCTTGTCATAAATTGCCATGGAGCGCCAACAACAATTTTCCTTCGACTTGGAGCCTTTTAGGTCCCTTTCTGTTTCTAGGGATGGTTGCGTGATCTTAAGCATAAGAAAGTTTCTTAACGGCTTATCAATGGCTCAAACAGATGCTGTAAACTATATAAGTACGAGTACTTCTAAATATATTTCAAAGTACATAAGACCAATGTACTTTTATTGGTAAATAGTCGACCTTATACCTTATTGAAAATAGTCCTTAATTCAAAAGCTTCAAATAACTATATTTCCGTACTCCAAACTGTTTAGAAACCATCTCTAACTTTTTGTCAAGACCCCCAGGCCTGAGTAAAAAAAACCGACTGGGCCACAGTCCATTGGATCCCAACCGTCGCGTCCAGGCTGTAAAAATTAATAGCCAACATAATAAGCGGCATTTTATGACAAGCGTGCACCTCAGCACACTTACACACAGACACGCTCTCACGGACATGGCCACGCCCCCTAGACAGCGCCTCTTCTGTTTTTTCTTTTCGGCACTTGGGCTTTTGGGCAAACATTTCTCATAGACTCACACGGCAAAAGTCATTGGGTGAGGGATCAGTTGGCCACGCTTCTTCATCGTCGTCACTTTGAAAATTACGCAAATTGAAAGTTACATCGTTATGTTGCCGGCAAATGGGGAAAATCAGGAGGAAAACGACGCAACACCCCCTCCAGTAAGCTCCAAGCCAACCGACGAGTTATGGGCATCGTATTGGCTCTGCAAGATTCCGCTTTATGATAATTACATGCAGCGTTCAGATTTGTTTTTATACGACTTTGTCCAGGAAAATTGAAAAACTTTTCGTAGGCTTCGCTGTTTGTGTGCTGTGCCAGGAAAATAGATGGTCGATTATGTAAGAGGTGATATGGGAGGCTTATTTATATAAACAAGCTAATGGATTTTGTGGCTTTTAATTGGAAGAGAGCCACTTGCGAGATGATGAAGTGGCCATAAGTCATGACTTCATGCCGGTTAGGCTCAAGTATTAAACGGGAAATGATCTCCTAAGACTCATATATATAGTTTACTACACCGAATCAAAATAGATTCTACTTCGATCTATACCACTCTAAATACTTCATGTCATAAACAGAACCTGCCACAAAAATCATTAGCCTGAAGCTTAAAAAACCATAAAACTCAAAAGATCTCGGCGGTAAATCGTTTAGTTAAAGCCTGACTATTAATGTCCCACTTTTGACCAGAAGAAACCAAGAAAATAAAAATACGAATACATAAAAACTAAGCACAAAGTAACCAAGTTGAATCATAAAGTGAATTCTGACTTCACTTTTTATTGTCTTTATACGCTTCGAGTCACAATCAAATTGATTGAGTGATAACTTCAAACGGTAATGACAAGAAACCAAATTTATGATGCTAATTAGCTTTGAATAAAGACTTGACTGAAGACAAAATATTTTAGCCCACGCCAGCCGTTTTTCTAATAAATCTTTCAACAAAACCCATCCGAAGACGAATTACACAAAATGAGATTTGTCTAAATCTTTCGAAAGCCCAACGAACTCTTCTGGCATATAAAATGCAAATTAGCTACAAAATGGGTTATCTCTCAGATTCCGAAACCCTCCATCCATTATTCGGTTTTCCCCATTCCCCATCCACCACATTATATTTTCTTATCTCCCTCGAAATGCATTTTCTTGTGTGCGTTTTTTATTTATTTTTCCATATTCTTTCGGCTTGTGGCTTGCATTTTTATTACTTGTCAAAATACAATAAAATTTATGGCAAGTTGGCAATATTTTTAACGCCAAATGCACAGCATTGGGTGCTGAGGGGATCAAAGGGTAGGGAAACTGTAGACAGAGGGCGAAAAAAATTCAAAGAAATCCCCCCATAAATCATGCAAGTGAAGTCTGGCCAAAAACAAAAGAAAATCTGCAAGGAAAAGAGAGAAAACAGTAAAACGCAAGAGCGGAGCGCATTAAAGTCATAAAAATAAAATTAGCCAAAGTGGGTGAAACCCTGGCAGGGGGAGGGGGAAATGCGTGAAAAATAAAAAAATTCAATTGTCGATATTAATGGGCATGCAAGTGAAATGCCAGTCAACGCATTATTGTTCAAAATATACCATAGTTATATGAATAATCTTACATCAAACACCTTTATTAAATTTTTGTTTTAGTTTTATCACTACCATTTAAAACATTTAACAATGAACGCACTTTGTTCATATTTTTTTCGATTTTCGCAGGGTACTCTAAGTGCCAATGATAAAAATGCATACATTTGGAAAATATTTCATTGGCTTACAGATTACATACACCCAGATTCATTAATTCGAATCGGGTGCATTTCCCTGAGAGCTCCGAGTCTAATAATTAATGCGTACACATTTTTCTTTGCCCTTACCTGCGGCTCATGATTTTCGCATATTTCTCAAGAGCTTCGAATACCCGCCTCATTTTCCCTTCTCAACGCTTTGCTAATAATGTGAAAAATAAGAAAATGAAAGGCATTTTTGTCTAATGAATTTCCACGTGCCATCACCATTTCCCCTGACTCTTTCAACTGGAAGGCTGCCTTCATTTTTGTATGCGGTACGTGCCTGTGTGAAAAGCGTATTTAAATGCGGTTGTGGCAAATTAGTTAATAAATCACATGTGGAAAATTGATGAGATGCCATTTTCCTCCTTTGGTTGCGAGCTGGAGGGATGGGCATTTCATTTGATTATTTGCCATTTGTTTGG